TGGGGTGACCTGGGGTGGAGATGTACAGCTGAGTATCATCAGCGTACTGATGGAACTCCACCCCAAAGCCCCGAATGATCTCTCCCAGCGGCTTCACATAAATATTGAACAGTAGGGGCGAGAGGACCGACCCCTGAGGCACCCCACAAGTTAGGGGCCTGGGAGTCGACCTCTGTCCCCCTGCCAATACAGACTGCGTGCGGTCGGTGAGGAAGGAGGAGAACCACTGCATAACAATGCCTCCCACTCCTAACTCACCTATCTGGGAGAGTTCTAATAAATGAAATGAAAAGGGGGGTCCCGGCATTTCCCCCCCCCCGGAACTCCCCCTCCCCCACTCACCTCTCCGGCCAACCACAGAATCTCTCTGGGCAGCTTCGTAGTTGTGTCGGCAGAAGACATCCACTCCGGTCTTCTCGTACTGCATGAAGGCCTTATCGCTGTTCCACTTGTCCACAATCAGCTGCCCCAACGGAGTGACGGCCACGAATTTCCCGAGGTCGCTGTCGAAGCGGAAGATCTCCTGCCGGTCGTAGATGTACCAGTCCAGGAACCGCACCCGCTGCGTCCCGTTGAAGAAATGGCACTCGACCTTCCACTGGAGCAGGAAATGGGCTGCGGGGGGGAGCAGAAAGAGGAAAGCCCTCAGGAGGGACTCCAGGGCCCATGGTTCCCAGAGGCTACTAGAGGAGGGGCGGAGCGACGGGAAGGCGGAGGGACGGGAGACCTGCCGCAAAGGACTGCCGGAAGGCGCCCCCTGGAGGAGGGATGGGGAACTGTCGGTCCCAGTGGGATTTCCCCCTTGGTGGGGGTCTGGAGGGGGGAGGAAAATGAGGGAGGGGGGAAAGAGCTTCCTGAGGGACCCCCCCTCCATCTCCCCAGGGTGGAAAAAGGCAGGCAGAAGTTCAGCCGGTCCAGGCCTCCGTCTGTCTGCAGGGAACGCTGGATCCCGGTGAGCCCTCTTTGCCCCCCCCTTCCCAAACCGGCAGTAAATATGGGGGGAGCGAAGAGACCCCCCCTCTGGGCTGGAGGGAAAATAATATCCAAGCTTCTCTCTCCCTCTTCCTTTTCGGAGCAGAAGGGAAGGGGGCCCCAATAAGGATACCCACAATAAGGATACCCATGCTCCTGGGCTCTCCCCACCCTTCAAGCCCCACCTTCCCTGTTCCCCCCTCCCCCATCTTCAGCCCCACAAGCTGCCTTTGGGTGCTTCTCAAGGCCTCTTTCCTGTCCCCCTCCCAAATAGACCCCCCTGCAGCCCCCAAGGCTACCTCAAAGGGAGGGGCTCCAACCCCCTTCACTAAAGGGGGAGTTTGGAAAAGCAACCCAGACCCCCCCCAATATCCCTCCCAATAGAGGCGGAGAAGGCGAGAGAGGGGAATATTTTCAGTCTTGGGGGCTGCAGCTTTAGAGGGGTGTTCAGGGGGGGTTGTAGACTTCCTTTTGCACCCCCTTCCATGAATCTGAACCACAGTCCCTCTTTCTCTATGTGCCTGCAGGAGTGGACTAGATGCCCCTTTAAGCTCCCTTAAGGCCCCCCCATGAGGAGTCAAGGCTGAGTCAGCGGAGACTTCGGAAGGACCAAGGGGAGCCGGAGGGGGGGTCTCTCTGGAGGGGAGCTGGGGAGGGGTTTCTCTCTCTGGTCTCGCTTGGCCCAAAGGGGCTTTTCCAAAAGGCAGCTGGACTTTCCTGGGTTTTCCCTTGAAGACGTTTCGCTTCTCATCCCAGAAGTCTTCAGTTCTGACTGAATGGTGGAGGGTGGAAGGAGGGATATTCCTTGCGGTCATTTGGTCATTTTGAAAGTCGGTCTCTGATTCTCTGAGGGGCCTTGAGGACCCCCAGGGGTTTATCTGGGACCTCAGGGTCCCCTGAATTGGGGGGGCAAAGGGGTGGGGAGCCTTACTGGGGCTGCTGAAAGGACCCCTTTTTAGGCAGAAGATGGGGGGGTCCTTTCCCTCCCCCTCTGTTGAGGGAGGGCTGCTCAATTTTGATCTAGACGGCTTGCAGGTCTGTGGATCCTGGGTAGAAGGGAACCCCCAGATTCCCTAGTTATCCCCCAAATTTTCTTTCCCAGCAACTTAACTCCTACTTGCTGCCATTGCGTTATTTGGGGGTTCAGCCATCTTTCCTGTCCCCCTGCAGCCCCCCAAGACCGCCTCAAAAGGAGGGTCTCCAGCCCCCCTCACCAAAGAAATCATTTTGGGGAGCCAATTTAGGGGAGCAATTCAGACCCACCCCAATATCCTTCTTCCTCAGTTCCCCCCTCCCCTCCAGGTCCCGATTCAGCAATGGGGGAATATGGGTGGGGGGGTTCTGGGTCTCCTCCCCAAATTCAGAGTCTCCCCCTAGAAGGAATCCAGCTCAACTCTTCCCTCCCCTTAAAAAAAATGGAGATTCAGAAGAAAAACTGAGGTTGCAAAAACACTTTTGCCAAAAAAAACCCCCTCTTTTTCTTATACATTTGATGGCATTTGTGAATTCAGGTTTGAAAATGCCTCAGTTTCCCTCTTTCATTTTCGCTTTCCGTCTCCTTCCTTTTTCAGTGCAAGAAACTTCGAGGCTCAGGTGCTAATTCTGGGTCCTCGAGGTCCCCCTCCCACTCAGCCACGGGGGGGGGGAGAGAGGGGCCAGGCTGACTCTTATCCCACATCGGCTGCCTTCCCGGGACCCCCGCCACAACCAGGGAAAAGGGGGATCCGTATTCTCCTGAGGGAGGGAAATACAGTGAGGGAGGGGCAGAGACCACGCGGAGATCGAGGCTCCTGCAGTCTCCCGCCTCTCTTGCCCTCGACCCCTTTTCCCACTACTGGGGTCCCAGCCCCTTTCTTCCCCCCTTCCCAGGAGCTGTGACGGCCCCTCCCAGCCCCTCTCCTCCCCCTACGAGCCCCCTCCTTACCGGGCGTCTCCTTCCCCCCTTCGCTTCCGGGGATCCGGATCAGCGCCCCCACCAGCAACAAAAGAGGGACCCCAACAGAGCCCATGGATGCCGCCCCACCAGCGCCCCCAAGAGAGAGGGGAGAAAGACGCGGAGGCTCCCAGCCCCAGAGGTGAAATCGGTGGGTCTGGCTGGGGCGTTTCCCTCGAACTTCGGAATTGGGAGGGCCCAGAAAAGCGGA